TCGGCGGACACAACATCTTTGTTGGTATGTGGTGCTGAGGATCGAACCCGGTCCGCACGCATGCCAGGCGAGTGTGCTACCGCTTGAGCCACATCCCCAGCCCATAATTCTTAACAATTGCATTCTTTCCTCTGTTTTGCAGTTGAGTAGAATGAGGCACAGAGTTTAAGGAGCTTGTCCTAGAGCACACAGAAGTTGTTGGGCTGTGAACCAAAGCAGACTGATCATAATCTAAGCCTTTAGCTACCCCCACTGCTCTGTGTACTCAAGAAAATTTGGTGACCAGCTGGTAGATTCTTAGCCTAGGAACAAGTTGCAGACCTGGGAGCTCCTAAGGACACTTGAAGCCAGAGAGACCCCATTGGAGAAAATAAGCCAGACTCTGGAAGGAAAACTAGAGCAAGCGTAGCTGCTGATATTTCCTTCAACAACCTTGGACTGGCCTTGGAACAGAATTTGAGAGGTGGTAGTAATACATGCATAGGAGAGGCCAAACTATCAGTTGCAGTGTTGAGATATGGCCACCAGGAGGCAACAAAAAGTTGGGATTGCTACAGGAGAGGGACTGAAAAACCCCCTTCTCATCCTGGCCTTTGTACTTCAGGGCTCACTCGCTTTGACCTGTTGGGTGACTTTGGACGCTTCAACTGGCTGGGTAATTTCTACATCGTGTTCCTCTACAATGCAGCCTTTGCTGGCCTCACCACACTCTGTCTGGTGAAGACCTTCACCGCAGCTGTGCGGGCAGAGCTGATCCGGGCCTTTGGTGAGAAGGCGTGGGAGGTGCAGGCTGGTAGGGTGGTTATATGATAGGGCTCTAGACCAGGAGTCATTCCTGCTGGGGGAGGGCTTGCTTCTTGTTTTCTATGTAACATATCTCATCCACCCATTTTGTACCCTGGTTGTTTTATCCTTGAGGGACTAGAACTAAGCTGTCCTTCTGATTGTGTACCTCCCCCACTTCTCCAGGGCTGGATAGACTACCGCTGCCTGTCTCCGGTTTTCCCCGGACATCCAGGAAGACCCAGCACCAGTGACCTCCAGCTGGGGATGGGAGGGAGAAAACTGGACACTGCCATCTGCTTCCTAGGCCTGGAGGGGAGCCCAAGGGTGGTTGGACCTCAGGACCTGGAATCTGAAAGGGTGGGTGGTAGAGGGGAGCTGAGCCATCTGCACTGTTGCATAATCTGAGCCAGAGTTTGGGACCAGGCCCCTGCTTTTCCAGACTTAACTGTGGCCTCAGCATAGGGTGGGGCTGGTTGACTGGATCTGGCTCCTGGTCCCAAATCCGTTTACACATCAATCTGCCTCAATGTTGTTCAGGGCCATGCCTGTAGTCATGTTTACATGATTTGATGTGCAATAGGGTAGGGAGGGGTGGGAGGGACTGGGCAAGGGGCAGGCTTGAGAGGCAGATTGTTTCCCTTGCCTCTGTCCCAGCAAGCCTTAGCACTGTGCTATCCTAGAGGGGCTTTGGACCACTGGAGAAAATGGGGGCATAGGGTGAAAGAGGCTGCACCCATCAGCAATAAAGTTGATCCCAGGGTTTGCTTTGGTTTTTTTAAAGAGCCTGTCTCTGTGACTATTTGAACAGCCTTGCTCCCACCAGTCCTGAGTCTACCATCTGAGAAACAGAGGGATCTTGCCGCCATCTTGCCATCTTTTCCTTCCCTTCTATCTGCATTCTCAGTGTTATTTTGGTACATAGATCTAGTATTAGGCCATATAGTTGAGCAGTGGGAAGCTCCTCTTCCTTTTGCCTTGCTTAAAACTGGCTGGTCCTGCAGGGTGCCATGGCAGATGCCTGTAATCCCAGTGGCTTGGGAGGCTGAAGCAGGAAGATCACAGAGTTCAAAGCCAGCCTCAGCAATGGCAAGGCACTGAGCAACTCAGTGAGACCTTGTCTCTATATAAAATACAAAATAGGGCTGGGGATGTGGCTCAGTGGTAAGTCACCCTGAGTTCAATCCTCAGTCTCTCCTAACTGCCCCCCCCAAAAAAAAAGGCTAGTCCCCTGCTCTTCCTTATACTCATGACCTTGTTTCTGTACCTTTGGAATTGGGGGTTGTAGGGTATGAGCACAGGAATAAGATAACCTCCCCATATATACTCAACCTTCAGCCCTGTCCTCCCTGATGTGACAATTGGTATAGACTAAAAGAAGTGACTGCTAATGAGAGCTGTGGCACATGCCTGTAATTTCAGTATGTTTGGGAAGCTGAGACAGAAGGATTGCAAATTCAAAGCCAATCTCAGGAACTTATTGAGGCCCTAAGCAACTTAGATCCTGTCTCAAAAAAATGAAAAGGGGAGCTGAGATTGTGGCTCAGTGGAAGAGCACTTGCCTAGCACGTTTGAGGTACTGGGTTCAATCCCCAGCACCACATAAAATAAATAAAGTTTTAAAAATAAATAAATAAAAAGGGCTGGGATATAGCTCAGTGGTAAATTGCTCCTGGGTTAAATCCTTAGTATCCCTCCCCCCAAAGAAAAGTGACTAACAGGTCACATTTTAAAACTTGTTTTACTTATTTATTTTATGTGCTGAGGATCAAACCCAGTGTTTCATAGGTGCTAGGCAAGCATTCCATCACTGAGCTACAACCCCAACCCCACACTGACAGGGTTTTTTGTGTTTTACTTTTTAACTTTATTTTCATATATATATATATGTAATTTATTTTTTATGCAGTTCTGAGGATTGAACCCAGTGTCTCACTCATGCTGGGCAAGTGCTCTACCACTGAGCCACAACCCCAGCTCTCTACAGGGTTTTGATTCCTACTTCAGAAAAGAACCTAACTTCGATCTTTGTAGAGGCTTTCATTTCCTTGAAATCTCCTTGCTATGTTGGGAATCAGGGACAAAATTTCTGCTTAGATTTTTCACTGTATAACTTATGGGACAACTGTTCACTTCATAGTCAATATATAGTTGTAACTCCCCCCCCCCATTGAACTCAGAAGCACTATACTACTGAATTATATCCCCATGTATTTAATTTTTTTTATTTTGAGACCGGGGTGTCACTAAGTTACCCATGCTGACCCCAAACTTGTGATCCTCCTGCCTCAGTCTCCCAAGTAGCTAGGATTATAGAAATGCACCACTTTCTTTCCCTCTCCATCTCTATTTATTTATCCTGGTGCCAGAGAGCAAATTCCACACCCACTCACACAGACTCACATAATGCTAGGCAGGTGCTCTACCACTGAACTACACTCCAACTTCCATGACCGTTTCCTTATAACTGGAAGTCTAATGTCTTGAGGAAGGGTTTTGTTTTTCCTAACATACACAAAGTTGGTGTGAGTGCCAGCTATGGAGCTAGGTGAGGGAAGGGTGAGTGTGGAATACAAAAAAGTGTAGATTCCACAAATGCTTGCTGAGCACTCTACTAACCACTTAGCCTTGGAATTACATGACAAACAAGTTTGTACTTAAATGCTTTGTCTAGTAGGATACCAGATAATTCTAACAGTTTAATAGCATAACAGTCAATTGCTGCCTCTTACAGGAACATGGGTGGGCAGTATTAGAACATCATGAAAGACTTCCCAGAGGAAGGAATTTATAAATGTTAGAAGTAGGTGAATGAAGTGCCTCTGAGATGAGATCTGAGTGGCTTGAAGTAGAGCCCGGAAGAATCCAGAGGCTACAGAAGTGCCTACCTGGAAGATGAAGGAGGATGATCATTATATTAGTCTTTTACAGAGCGGGACTTTTGATAAGTATCCCCTGTCCATCAGCAACTTCAAATTGCAATTTATTCATTTGAAAAGAAATTAGAAAGTGCAAAGTTGGAAGTCCTAAACAGAAGTATAAATACCAAACTGTTCCTGGTTCTGGGGGCGTTCCCACTGGAAGACTATAAAGTTACTAGGGAAAATGGTCCCCTGGGATCCTTGCCTCCCATTCCTGCTTACTGCTGAGTGTGAAGAGAGAAATGGGGGAGGTTTGGAGAGAACCACAGAGAAGGGAGGCTCTGGTTGTATGCCCAAAGGGCTTGGCTGGCCTTGAGCAGAAATTGGAACCCATACTTCCTGGATGACAGCAGAGGGCATGGCCTGCCAGGGTAGGCTTTGGGAGAGCAAAGACCAATTCAAGGATCAGAGGAGAATGGTTTAGTTCCAAATTTAGGTTTGGAGGTAGAAGGATGCCTATCCAGGCAGCCAAGGACTGTAAAGCTACAAGGATTTCCTAGGCAGGTGTCTGCATGGTTTCCAGGATGGGACACACTTCAGTCTCGAAATGGAACAGTGGTGACCAACTAGATCCCCCGCCCGGGTGGGAGGGGGCGGGACGGTCCTGGCAAGGGGGGGCGGGGCTACTTAAGGCGGAGTCCGGGCATTCTGGCAGCACAGGAGTTGGGCAGCAGAGACTGGCTGGGCTGGCACTCACCCACGACCCCCCTTCCCTGCCATGGTGGTCCACCAGTAGCAGATTCCAGACCACCCCAACTCCCCGGGACCTTTGGGCAGACCCAGCGACAGCCAGGTGCGCAAAGCCACAAGAGCTCTAGCGCAAACTGGGGACAGCTCTGCCTGCTGTGTTCTCTTATGCTTGTGGAGATGCCCAACTGACAGGAGAAAAGAAGAAAAGAACGCTCCCTCTTGACCCACGCCTGCTGCAGCCATGGCACTGCGGGTCAGTCTGTTGCCCCTGTGCTGCTTGGCACTTTTGGCATTACCTGCCCAGAGCTGTGGGCCGGGCCGGGGACCTGTTGGCAGGCGCCGCTACGTGCGCAAGCAGCTTGTGCCTCTGCTGTACAAGCAATTTGTGCCCAGCGTGCCAGAGCGGACCCTGGGCGCCAGCGGGCCCGCGGAGGGAAAGGTGGCGAGGGGCTCCGAGCGCTTTCGGGACCTCGTGCCCAACTACAACCCCGACATCATCTTCAAGGATGAGGAAAACAGTGGCGCTGACCGCCTGATGACGGAGGTAAGAGGGCCTCGCCCCACCTGCGCCAGGGCATCCCCGACTTCTGGGAGGGTGAGGCTGCCTTCATCTACAGAGACCTTAGTCTTAAAGAAAAGACCTCCCCCAGTAAATTCCCTTTAAAAAGTAAGAACCTGGCTGGCTGGAGAGTGGTTAGGAGGTATCCCAACAGGGAAAGGCTGGGATGGGAAGGGGGGAGGAGGGACTGACTAGTGAGAGTGAAGCTGGGAGAGGCAGGGAGGGCGGGGAAAGGAGGATGGCGGCAGGCGAGACGGGAAATGGCTGAGGCGTGGACCGGGGGTCAGCCACCGAGCCAGGCAGGAAGGGCTGGGGTGAGCTGGGGGCCAGGAGCTGGCTGGGCAGCAGACAGAAGGCTCTACCCTTAGACTGGCTCCTGACCTTACTGTGGAAAAGCCCTCTGCGCAAAGAGACTGAAGGGGGTTGGGAAAGGGTGGCCAAGGATCAAGTCCCAGGGCATCTACCTGAGGAGGAGCTGGGCAGGAAATGTCTTTGGCATAGGAGAGGTTTCCTAGAAGCAGGACAAGGCTTTTCTAGGGTCTAGATGACAGTCTTGGTGTAAGAAGCAGTCCTCAGTGAAAAGAACAGGTGGGCTCACCTGAGTATCAAATGTTTGCTGGGTCCCCCAAGCTCAGTTTAGTTCAGAAGCTTTCCTTCAAATTAAAGAATTAAATTAAACTACCATTAGTGAGCATTTGCTGTAGACTGATATTGAACTGACCTAAGTGATATGGGCTATGCCTTGGAAGAGAAGGACCACCTCTGGCATGTGATAGTATCAGAAAAGGAAACTTGAAAATCACATTCCTCCAACCTCCCACCCCCACCCCTCACTTTAAATGGGAGAGCTGGATCCCAGGAGGAAAAGCAGTTTAATCAAAGTCTCACAATTAATTAGTGGCATTGCTGGGACTAGAATTCAGGACTCCTGACGTTAAGTCCTATACACTTTCCATTACACCACCTAATTGTGTATGAAGTGAGAAGGTGGAGGGAGAGGGAGGGGTACGGATTTCCTCTGATTAATTGCCATAGTTTTCCAGGTTACTTTGTTAGGAAAACCTGTCAAGGGGAGAAAGCATTTTTACTTGCTCCTGTACTGAAAGCCTTCCTCCTACCCAGAGATTGGGAAGGGTCTATTCCGTTTTTCCCCCTCCTTGGTCATAGAACATTATGGCCCTTTCCTCTGGCTGCCACCTGCAGTAGAGGAGGCAGAACAAGGGACAGGCACAGGAGGGCCTCTGACAGGCCTGGGAACCCCCTCAGTCCTGCTTATCTCCCACACCCTGGCTGCAAAAGGCCTCCATTGAGTTGGCTCTGCACTGGGCTGCTGCCCCCGCAGGTCAGGGCCTCCTTAGGGGACAAAACGGCGAGAAGTTGGAAGGAGCTACTGCTTTTCCTGTTCTCTCTCCCTCCACACCCCCAACCCTGCAGTTGCAGAGGTGGAGATGACTAGAGATGGGAGAGTGGGGGTGGATCCCCCTGGCAGTTTAGGAAAAAAACAAGTCTGAGGTGAGGGGTCTGGGAGGGAAGAAGAAAAGGAAACTGTCCTCTGCGCTCCTCCCGCGGTGTCCGTCCTATGGTGCGCGCCAAGGTCTCCAGCTCCCAGACAGGAGAGGCCAAGATAACTGTGGCCTCACTCCCCCAGGTGCAGACTTCCAGCCGCTGCTCCTTTTCCTCCTCTTCACTCCACCCTGCAGGGGGCCCCCCAGATCCGCGCAAGGGCAGCGCTGAGTATTCTCAGGTGCTACTCCCACGAGCATCTCTGCCCAGAGATTGAGGAAAGATTGAAGCTCTCGAGGCTGGCGGAGCCTTAGCTGGAACTGGGAGGACTGGTCACGCTGGGGGAGGGGACCTGGCGGGCCAGAGCAGGGATGGGAGGCGCGGCTTTCTGCCCTTTCCTCTCTATGAGCCGGGGCGGCTGAAAAGCGCCTTTGTGGCTGGAGCTGCTGAGTCCGCTTCTCCAGGCGCGTTCCCGGCCTCGGCCCGGGATTCTCGTTCAGTTAAGTCATCCTGGAGAATGGCCATTGTGCTTCGTGCAGCCCCCGCCACCCAACCCTTTTTCCAGCAGCCTTGATCCTGCACGGCTTCTCTTGAGCACCTCTGTGGGGGGCACCCAGACCACGAAGGGGTTAATGCTAGGGGCTGAAAGGAGGAGGAGGAAGGAAGGAAGGAAGGAAGCGATGCCCAGTGCCAGGGAAGGCCAGGGGAGGCAACGAAACAAAAGATGAATCAGGCGGAGGGAGGGCAGCCAGGGCCTGGGGCAGGGGCCAGGCTCAAACAGGGGCTCCTCTTGGGTAGCCAGGCCCTCCCTAACCAAACTCCACCCGCCCTCTCAACTCAGGTCGGGCCAAGGTCCCGGAACAAGTAGGGGCTAAAGGCAGCCATTTAAAATAGCCGAAGAGCTAGGTATGGGTGCCCGCTCTTAATCTTAGAGGTGACCCCATAGTTCTCCAACGATGCCCTGGCAAGGGAGTGCAGAAGGGCGACTACACCTATTCAGATCCTCACTTGCCCAGAACACTCAAAAACTGGTATGGAATGAACTGGGACCCAAGAACAAGGAATCAACGCTTCTATTCAAATCGTTTCGCCCCAGAGGTAATGATAGCGGTAGTGGGGAGACTGACTCCTTATTCTCTAACAGCGTTGTAAGGAGCGGGTAAACGCGCTGGCCATTGCAGTGATGAACATGTGGCCTGGAGTGCGCCTACGAGTGACTGAGGGCTGGGATGAGGACGGCCACCACGCTCAGGATTCACTCCACTACGAAGGCCGTGCCTTGGACATCACCACCTCTGACCGTGACCGCAATAAGTATGGTTTGCTGGCGCGCCTGGCAGTGGAAGCCGGCTTCGACTGGGTCTACTACGAGTCCCGCAACCATGTCCACGTGTCTGTCAAAGCTGGTACAGTACGGGGTGGGTGGTAAGGTCTGCCCAAAGGTGTTCCCATGAATCTACAATAGCCCTAGGGGAGACCAACTGGGAGTTAGTGTTGTAAACCACCCTTCCACTTCTGCCCAGATTAGGGACTGATCAGTGGGAAATATTGTACTATCCAGAACTGGGTGAAGTCTGCATTGAGCTTGACTCATATTTTTGAGAATCTACCACCGTTCTGGAGCCGCTGGTCTCGATTCAGTCCTATCTTTTTTTTTTTTTTTTTTCCCTTGCAGATAACTCACTGGCTGTCCGGGCCGGCGGCTGCTTTCCGGGAAATGCCACCGTGCGCCTTCGGAGCGGCGAGCGGAAGGGGCTTCGGGAACTGCACGGCGGAGACTGGGTGCTGGCGGCGGATGCCACAGGCCGGGTGGTGCCCACACCGGTGCTGCTCTTCCTGGACCGGGATTTGCAGCGCCGGGCCTCGTTTGTGGCTGTGGAGACCGAGAGGCCTCCGCGCAAACTGTTGCTTACGCCCTGGCACCTAGTGTTCGCTGCTCGAGGGCCAGCTCCGGAACCCGGCGACTTTGCACCGGTGTTCGCGCGCCGATTACGCGCTGGGGATTCAGTGCTGGCGCCTGGCGGGGACGCGCTTCGGCCGGCGCGCGTGGCCCGCGTAGCGCGAGAGGAAGCCGTGGGCGTGTTCGCCCCACTTACTGCTCACGGGACCCTGCTAGTCAACGACGTCCTGGCCTCTTGTTACGCTGTTTTGGAGAGTCACCAGTGGGCTCACCGCGCCTTTGCTCCCTTGCGCCTGCTGCACGCGCTGGGGGCGCTGCTCCCCGGTGGTGCAGTCCAGCCGACTGGCATGCACTGGTACTCGCGCCTCCTCTATCGCTTGGCAGAGGAGCTGCTGGGCTGAATGCCCCAGACATAGAAACCTTGATACGCTTGATGAAACCCAATCGTGCTGGCTGAGATGTGGGGATGTGGGCACAGGCAATGCAGATTGGGAGGGTGGGAGGGTAAGGGAGAAAGGGGGCTCTATGGAAACTGCCTGCTTTAAGGTCAACTTTCAACAGAAAGGAGGTGATCTTTGGTCCTCGGTAGGTGGGGTTGATGGTGGCACCCTTAATGAGGACTGCTTAGCCTCTTCTTCCCCAGTGCCTTAGCCCCACCCGATAATTTTATTTTATTTACTATTTATAAATTGTAATATAAGGATCTGCTTGCCCAGCCAGCCAAGATGAGGCTGCCGTCGGGCTACAACATAGCTTTAACATTGTCTGACACAGCTAGCCAAATCTGACGTCCCTCATTTTTTCTGCAGGTGGGCTAATAAAGGGAAGACTTTTAGGAGCTTATTGGAAAACATCTCTATTCAGAGGGTAATTCGGAGGGGGGGGAGATCAATCTTATTTCTGACTCCCCCTCCTTCCTCACAGCATCTTTGGGACCCTATTCCTCTTTTCAGAGCTGTGTCCCAATGCATTAGCAGAAAAGACCAGAAAAGTCATGCAAGTATTTTAGGCTGCTGGGGAAAACTTCAATGTGAAAGGAGAAGACCAGCATTCTTCCCCTGAGGTTGCATACCAACTTCTGTAGAGAACTTTGTCTGTCCTGGGAGTTGGAAAGCCCCTGCACCTCCCTTTTCTGTTTAGAGGGGCTCCCCTGTCCATATGGTACTCTTTAAGTATCTCAGTCCCCTATCTTTAGCAGTCCTGGCACCTCCCTCAAGGTCATGAATCAGCCTTGTCCCCATCTTACTGTGGTGGCACTCTTTAAGGGAGCTTTTCTTCCTTCCTTCCTTTCTTTCTTTCTTTTTTTTTTTTCTTTCTTCCTCTTATTCTTTTTCTTTTTGGGGATGTCTCTGGGCCATCTGATAACCTGTGGGAATCCCTGGCTAAGAACTTAGAGTCCACACACAATTATAGGCAAAAGAAAGAAGCTAGAGGAAGAACTGAAATCTTTCCTTACTGCAGGGCTGCAGAGAACAAAATTGGCCTGTGGGTGGACAGCCTCCCCAGGCAAGAGCATGTGCCTATTACAACCTTAGCTCATTTTTCATCACCAGCCCTGGTTGTTGTTTCTATTAGCTTCTTCCATCATTCTTCTTCTTCTTCCATTATTCCTGGGCTCTGACTCTCTGTCCCAGGTATTTTGGGGAGTTCCAACACAGTAAACACCTGGAATCAAAGGAGGCAGGCGCCCCTGAGGTAGGAAGGAAAGCTCAGAAGAGGTTGTACTGCTCTGGAAAGGCAGCATCTGAGAGGTAGTCAGGAGTGGTTGATACTTAGGGGTGGGGGTGGAGCCTGCCTATAGCAGCTGTGCTGCTAAATAGATTGGTTTTGAGAATCTGAGCCTCAGAGCCTCTGAGCCCCAAGGGTCCTGCTATGTACCGCCCTCTGGTGACCATTAGGAGAATCTAGGCTTATGCCTGCAAATGGTTCTCTTCCACACCCAAGGAAAAGAACTATATTATATGGATGTGTATGCTGGACAAATGTATCTCAGGGCTTGTTAAGCTGCAGGGGTGAGCCACATGTGTCAGGAGCTTTCCAGAAGCCGTCTTATTTCCATTTAGAAAAGCCCTTCCAAAGAGTGGCACTTTTGCTTCCCTAGTGCATAGTTTAAGCTCTGTGGCTCATGGAAGTTGGAGGGGTAGCAGTCATATACCCAGAGTAGTCCAGACTCCCTTAAACATTGAAGTTGCCCCCTCATGTCCCTCACTCTTGTAATCCTTGAGTTTAATAGTCAAGAAGTAAAAGCAAATGGAGTTCCATGTAGTGCTTTAGAAAGGTAACATTTGGCAGTGAAATGTTTAGCTTTAGTGTCCTTCCACTCACTAGTTTTCTCAATCCACACCAGGTACCTGTTGCCACCCACCCTTTTCCTGATCTCAGAAACATACTCCAAAGCTGTGGACCTTTTTTACTTTCTTTCTAAACCTGGCCTTGTTCATTCTATCAGATTTGGTGTCATTCTTTTATGTCACCCATGTGATGATTAATCTGATAAACTATTTCATCTTTCTGGGTTGGTGGACTCTTTGTTTTTACTACCCTTCTCAGTTAATGCATGTATCCAAAAGGCTTGCTGAAAATAACACCATAAAATCATAATGATGATTATTCCTATAGTTTTAATAAGTTATACAGGGTGTTCTTTAGAGTTAAGAAACACTTCACTTGCTCTCTCTCAAAAAAAAAAAATCATGACCTATTCTTAAGCAAGTTAAGTGTTCCATCTCCAGGAAGCAGGTGGGCATACTCAGCCACCCAACATCTTCCAGTTGCAACACCTCTTTTCATCAAAAAAGGGTAAGATCCTGACTGGGGAGTCAGATAGAACTGAAGATAATGCTATCTCCCTAACAGGATTGTTGATAAGGTTGTACTCGATATGAAATAGACACTTAGCAAATGTTTTCCATTCTTTACATCCATTTCTCACTGCCTTTGCTGCTTTTTGCTGTTTTTCTCCTTACCAATCCACTAAAAAGCATTATCAGTGCAAACTTTTCAGGGTTGAGTTATACCTACACTTGTTTGATTTTATGACACTCCTTTTTTCAGAAGGTGCTGTGTGACAGATTTGGGTTTGTTTTAGAACTAAGGTATAATTAAAAACAACCTTGTTTTGAAAATTTACTGAGCATTTTGTGATAACCCTGGCAAGACCTCTGCCTGCTAGGAAATCAAAATTAGAACCACTGTTTAAAGGTTCAGGTAATCCTTTTAAATTCATTCCTTTTTTTCAAGCAGGGTTTTCAGAACATCAAGAGTGTAGCACTGTGTTAGGCACCCCAAAACAAAAAGATTAACAAACAACTTCTTTCCTAGAAAAGGAGACATAAAGACATAAAATGTTTAACTACTAAAGCAACATTGTTACTTAATTGGGATTAGCTGGACCAGCAGTAAATGTAACAGTGGTACAGAGAAGGCCTTGTGATGAAAGGAAGGCCTGAATAGAGTATTGATGCTTGTGTAGGTGGACAAGGCTGGAAAGAGCATTCCAGGCACAAGGAACATCATGTGCAAGGGCTTGAAATCTGGGATTAAGATATGTAGCCTGCTGAGAGCAGAAAACTGGGAAGTGTAACAATATATAGCTAATGTTTACTAAGGATTTAATACATGTCAGGCCTTGTTTTAGCACTTTATCTGCATTCTGGTTAATCCTTGCAACTGTCCTCTGAGATGATATTACAGATGAGGAACCTGAGGCAGAGTTTTAATTCACTATCTTGGGTTGGGTACCACAGCCAGAGTGGTAAAATGAAGCAGAAGTATATGGGAAATAAAACTGCTCTGATAGGGGTGCTGGGGATATAGTTCAGTTGCCTCTCATGCACAAGGCCCTGGATTCAATCCCCAGCACCACAAACAAAAACAAAAACTGCCCTGATGGATGGGTCCAACTATGTGGGCCTTAAGCTACTGTTTACTCTTGCTCTTTCCCTTCTTTGAGTCATAATATAAAGTCCTTCTAGCTTTCTAACACTTATTTCTCTCTCATTTTATTGGCCTTTCTTCCTCCACACAGGATGTCTGACCTCCCACTAGGAGCTATCTGACCATCCAGTTAAGGAAATACATGTATTGTTTTCTGATAGGAATCCATGGGAGGCTAGCACACCCACACAAAGTATAAGAAGACCCCAGTTCTTTCTGGATTAGAGAAAGAGAAGGGAGGTTTTGTAATGGACTGAATGTTTGTGCACTCCCCCCTTCCTATATTCAAATTTTGAAGACCTCTAAGGAATTAACTCAGGTTAACTGAATTCATAAAGGTGAGGCTTTAATCCTAGGATTAGTGCCCTTTATGAGAAGAGATACCAGAACAGTCAGTGTGTCTATCTGCCTCTCTCTCTCTACACACACACACACACACACACACATACACACACACACACACACAAAAGGCCATGTGTGAGGACATATGTGAGAAGCCAGCTGTCTGCAAGCCACAGTCAGAAAGCTGCTATCTAGAGCCCTCATAGAAACTGAATCATGGGCTGGGGATGTGGCTCAAGTGGTAGTGCGCTCGCCTGACATGCGTGCGGCCCGGGTTCGATCCTCAGCACCACATACCAACTGAATCATCTAGAACCTTGACTTTGGACTTCTAGCCCCCAAACTATGAGAAAATAAATACCTGCTAATACCAATTGACCTTGGACTTCTAGCCCCCAAACTATGAGAAAATAAATACCTGGTCTGATATTTTGTTATGATAGCCCAAGATTAAGACAAGCTTCCAGGGCTGGGGATGTGGCTCAACTGGTAGCGCACTCGCCTGGAGTGCGTGCGGCCCGGATTCGACCCTCAGCACCACATATCAACAAAGATGTTGTGTCCGCCGAGAACTAAAAAATAAATATATATATATAAAAAAAAGACAAGCTTCCGGAATTTTTTTGGGGGGGGCAGCTAGGAATTAAACCCAGGCGGGTGCTTCACCAATGGGTCACATCCTCAGCTGTTTTTTCTTGGGGGGGGGTGCTGGGGATTGAACTCAAGTAATGCAACCACTGAGCCACATCTCCAGCACTATTTTGTATTTTATTTAGAGATGGGGGTCTGAGTTGTTTAACACCTTGCTTTTGCTGAGGCTGGTTTTGAATTTGTGATCCTCCTGCTTCAGCCTCCTGAGCTGCTGGGATTATGCTGCATCCAGCCCCAGCCCTTTTCTCTCTCTCTCCCTCTTTTTTTTTTTTTCATAATTTTTTTTTAGTTGTAGCTGGACACAATACCTTTATTTTATTATTTTATTTTTATGTGGTGCTGAGGATCAAACCCAGCACCTCACACATGCTAGGCAAGTGCTCTACCGCTGAGCCACAACCCCAGCCTCTTACCTTTTTTTTTTTTGTGGTGCTGGGATTGAACCCAGGGCCTTGTGCATAGAAGGCAAGCACTCTACCAACTGAGCTATATCCCCTCCCCCTTACATTTTATTTTGAGACACCGTCTCACTAAGCTGCTTAAGCTAAATTGCTGAAGCTGGTCTTAAACTCTTGATCTTCCTGCCTCAGCCTCCCAAGCTATTGGGATTATAAGTATGTGCCACCATGCCAGCTCTGGCTCTGAAATCTTTAAAGGAGGAAGAGTCTAGTGCTAAGATAGGGTCTTTACTTAATGAAAATAATCATCTCTCCTTGAAAAATTAGCATATCTGATATAAAACTTGACATGTTTATCCCTGACTATGCTTTTATGATCTGTGTTATATTAGAGAAGCTTTTTTCTGAGGCTGGGAGATTGAGGCAGCTGTCTGTGGAAAAGAAAGCTATAGGTAGTCAGGGTCTATTTCTCTGCAGGGGATTTTGTGGCCAATTAGCACACTCAAACCCTCCTTTCCCTGTTATTGTCTCTGTATGGGACTTGGTTGATGTATGTACATGAGAATCTCCAGGAGAGGGGGATCTTTGATTCAATAAGGATTTACTGCATGCCTACTATGTGCCATGTGTTATGCTGTATGTGGGAATAGATTAGTAAAAGCAGGTGTAGACACAATTCCTTCCCCTCATGTTTCTTACATTCATCTTACAAGACAAGCATAAATTGTTTGAATGTTGTTGAGTGTGGTGAAAGAGATTGATAGAGACATTTAAGCTGATACCTGAAGGAGGAGTCAAGTTGTTCAAGCAGAAAATATGGCATGTGCAAAGGCCTGTATAGTTGAAGAGTATGAATAAGATGAAACTGAGAAGCATCAAGAGGTTCAATCTAGCTAGAGGGAGATGGGATCTATTTAAGGATTTTAAATTTTATTCTGAAGATGAAACACAATTATAGAATTTGAAGCAGGGGAATAACACTCTGAAGGGAATAAATAAACACATTTTACTATTTTTATTTTTGGTACCAGGTATTAAACTAAGCCACATCCAAAGACCTTTTAATTTTGAGACAGGGGCTCACTAAGTTGCTTCAGGTCTTTCTAAGTTGCTTTGGCTGGCCTGGAACTTGTGATTCTTTTGCCTCAGCTCCCTGAGCCACTGGTATTACAGTTGTAAGCCACTATGCCCAGTGAACAGGAGTTTTTGGATAGTCTTTATCCCAAAACAGATTGGTTCTCATCTCACTTTCCACCTTAGGAAATGCTCCCACTCCCATATACAATGTGCTATGGGAGCAGATGAGACAATATAGGGAAACTGGAGCAGATTAGGGTAGGATAGAATAGGATGAGAAATGCAATATAATTGAAGCCAATATACCTCACCCTGGCTTTGCTTCTCTCAGAAACGTAAACCCAAATTGTCTCTCAGCTTTTCTTATTGGGACCACATAATCTGAGAACACAGTTGCCTGATTTCTTACCAGAACTTGCGACTCTGCCATTTTCTTTTGCTTTCCAGTGATTGATTGAGCAGAGTCTTGGTTTACCTTGGAACTGATGGCCACAAGCTGAAGCAGACTTACTACCCTGAGATGAGAGCCAGGTCTGGGCTGAATACTGAATATTGCAGCTGCCCCAGGAACAGCTGGTTAAGCCCTCAGCAGCTGCAGCAGTTGGGATTCCATCCAATATTTGAACTGGGATTAAAACCATTTCCTCCACACACAGCCCTTCCTTGTTCTAATCCATAGCTTGTCTACAGTCATCTCATAGAATCTTTGAGAACAGATATAACAGATATCTTTTCTTACTAAAGTGGAGTCACCCACCTTCTTCTGGATGCAGTAAGCCCAAAGCACACAGCCTCATTTCCCTCATTTTTTCTATCCTTCCATAAACTGGTCAGGATGGAGTATTCTTGAATTGTATGATATTCTGTAAAAACTATTAGAATTGTTTAAAGATGGAGGGACTTCTTTGGTGTGGTGAGGTGGTAGATTTCCTTTATCTTTCAAGAACTCTACAACAAGGCTTTCAAACTCTTGGGAGTGTTTTGGGGAGAATCAAGAATCATACTAGTGGCCAGGATTGGTAGCACCCACCAGTAATTCCAGGGGCTCAGAGGCTCCTGGATTGCAAGTTCAAAGCCAGCCTTAGCAATTTAGTGAGGCCCCAAGTAACTCAGTGAGATGCTGTCTCAATATAAAAAATAAAAAGGGCTTGGGATGTGACTCAGTGGTTAAGCACCCCTGGGTTCAATCCCTGGTCAAAAGAAAAAAAGAATCATACAAGTGGTTGTTACTTTCACACTCACTGCTTTTCACTGAACCTACAGTTAAAAACAATAGGACTGTATTTTCTGTTTGATTCTTACTCATCAGTTATGTAACCTTGAGGAAATGTTGTGTGAGATGCCAGAGCCATAATGAAGTGCTCTCCAGAGGATGAGAAAAGAGGAGGTGCTCAAGACTTAAGGCAAATTAGGGCTAACCCTCTAGCTCAGTGGCAGTTTTGCCTGGTACATGTGAGGCACCAGGTTGGATCCTCAGTACCATATAAAAGTAAATAAAATAAGGGCATGCTGTCCATTACAACTACAAAATGAATAAAAAAAATTGGTCATAGGGCTGGGGATGTGGCTCAAGTGGTAGCGCGCTTGCCTGGCATGCGTGTGGCCCGGGTTTGATCCTCAGCACCACATACAAAGATGTTATGTCTGCCGAAAACTAAAAAATAAATATTAAAATTCTCTCTCTTTAAAAAAAATAATAAAAATAAATCCTATCTCTTCCTTTCTACTTTAAAAAAAATTGGTCATAAAAAAAAAAGACTTAAGGCAAATTAATACATGAAGGGACAGGACAGCTCCTCCAGATCCAGAGACTTGACTCCAACAAACAGTTACCAAACCCTGCAAGTACTAATAGGCCTGTACCATGCTAAGGATTTGTGATATTTTTCTTTTATTTTTAATTTTTTTGTTGTTGTTCTTGGGGCTGGGATTGTGGCTCAGCAGTAGAGCGCTCGCCTAGCACAGATGGGACCCGGGTTTGATCCTCAGCACCACATAAAAATAAAGGCATTGTGTTAATTTTTTTGTGAGTGTTGTACATGCACTGAAAGCCTTTATTTTATTTTTTTTTTTCCTTTTGGTACTAAGGATTAAACCCAGGGGCACTTTACTGCTGGGCTACATCCCCAGCCCTTTTTAATTTTGATTTTGGGGCAGGGTATCACTAAATTGCTGATACTGGCATAACATTTTTATCCTTTTGCCTCAGCCTCCTTAGTAACTAGGATTATAGGCATGTGCCACCATGCCTGGCTCCCATCTGAATTTTAGCACATAGTCCACACTCAGAAAATGCTCCAAATACAGAGTCCACTCTGTATTTCCAGATCAATCTGTTTTCACTCTTCCCTTAGAATTTTTCTTTTTCCCTAGCACCTTTTCAATTACCTTATCAAAACTTCTTTTTTTCTCTCTCTCTTTATCACATACACAAACACTCTCTCTCTTTCTCTCTCTCTGTCTTTTTCTGTCATTAAGGTTTCTTCCTCTATGCGTCTAACTTCCACTGTGATGTGAGAATGTAATTTTGCCTTCTAATCTTTCATTCAACAATTTCCCCTACTATGTCTTTCATGGCACACTCAAATGGGGGAATTGAGGAGACTATAATGAATGGGCTATTCATAAAGTTGTGGACAGGGTGAAGAGGTACCAACAAGAGTGATGAAGCATTCTGAGTGGCATCAGTGGGAGCCATTACTACCCCTAGGACTGAGAAAGGTGGGATATGAAAACCCAGAGAATATTGTAATTAGCCACAGCTGTTGGATGAAGGAGAGAATCTGTGGCCTCTGGAGGAGGAGCATAGCCACGTCAAGAGTGGCTCAGCCAAACAAGGTGATGCATGCCTCTAATCCCAACCACTTAGAAGGCTAAGGCAGGAGGATCAAAAGTGTGAGGCCAGGCCAGGTAACTTATGAGCACTTATCTCAAAACAAAAAAATAAAAAAATAAAAAAGCTGGGGATGTAGCTCAGTGGTAGGTCACCATGGGATAAATCCCTAGCAACACATAGACACAGACACATAGACACACACACACACACACACACACACACACACACTAAGCAAGCATACAGACCAAAATGTAAATCTAAGTCTTTAGATTAGAAAGGAAAGTGAGAGGGAGCATCTGAAAGTAACTTATTAGCTAATTTAGACATAAGAAACAGCATGTTTGCATTTTATCTAATTCAACATCAGTACCTCATTTTTATTTTATTTTTAATATATTTTAAAATTTGTTCTAATTAGTTATATATGACAGTAGAATGCATTTTGATACATCATATATAAATGGAGTACC